AGCTTACAATACAGAAAGTTTTCAAATTAATTACAGAAAAAAAAACTCATAAACTCATATCCCTTCTAATTTCCAAGAATTCATTGAAAAATTATATCCTTAAAGAAAATGGGCAAAACAGATCGTTCAATCCTTTGGATTCCGAGAAATACAACAGTAAAAACATTCCTTTGGTGGAATGGTAAAGCTTCATATAAGCTAATCCAAAAATTTATTATTATGAAGTAATCGTAGGCAAACAATGGGTTTTTGAAACAGAGATGAAAAGCAAGGAAAGAAATGCCAGACAAACTGCTAAGAAAGTGAAAAACAAGCATAAATTTCTTTTTTGTTCTAGAACCAAATTATCTCCAAAAATGTCACTGGGATTCAAAAAATGGTAAAAAACAGAAAAATTGCTCACCGCAGTAATGCAGTGAGCAATTTTTCTAATACGCGTCATATTTTGAACTAAACTAAGATAAGCTTTTCTGAAAACACCTAAAACATTGATGAACAAACGACTCAACTAAAATATATATATATTTTACTTAGAAAACTGCAACATGTGAAGGAGACAATCCTTTTCTCCTTTTTTTACTTTTGTCTTCCTAAAAAAATCAATAGTCTAAAGACGAATGATCATTAGGACAACATATACCAGCAATAAATTCAAAATATTTTATGAGGAAAAAATTCCACATTAATTGGTTTTATAGAACTTACCAAAATACACAACTGGTATGGTTAGTACGGTTCTTCTTTTATAAGTTGTAGTTTATGCTTCTAAATACTAAAATCTATTGATGTCCAAATCGATTATAACGCTGACCAGAAATTACAAAAAGTGGATTTCGCGTAAAACAACAGTAAGTTCATATTACAACCCTGTTTGCATATGTGCATGCATTATGTACTTCCGATTCAAATAAAATTAATTACCTCATCGGTTGTTGCAACCATGCTACTACTCATAATGCAGCCATCCCCTTCGCTCTGTTGGAGAGATCGGCGACGACGTAATTCATACCTATACAACACAGAAGTTTTGACTTCATCAAATGAGATCACTTAAAATGATTTAAATAATAATTAAAACGATGATAACTTTAACAACTTGCTAATTGTGCAGATAATAAAAAAAATTTGTAATGACATATGACAGGAAGTTCAAAAACACGAGTCACGATTTCTGCATGTAAACCTACAACGATCCATCACGAAATTAAAATGCAAACTAATAAACGCAGCAATTTATAACGTCAACCATCGTAACCATATGGCTTTTTAGATTATTCTAGCCCTATTTCAAACTTTTAGTTAATACCTACTTAGTGCAACAAACATTATTCCAAATTTCAAAAAAAAAAAATTTTTGCTTCTTCCCTGAACTACAAAAAGGAATCATCCCATCATAGCAGTACGTCGCTAAACTACCTTTTCCTGGCAGCCATATCGGTGATATCCGTTTGCAGAGGTACAGCCTGAAGGCACGAAACTGAACTACTTACTGGCGTTGACGTTTGTACTGTCGGAGGTTCTGCAGGATCCGCTTGTCCACTATTACGACGTCGTAACACTATAATTTGTGAAAATCCAAATGCAATGATTAAACGATTGTTAGAATCTGCTGTAATCTTAATAGTTTTACGACCAAAATCTCGAACCCTTTTCCAAATCACACACGTGACTAATGATAAAAGCAAGAATTCTATAGAAAATAAACTGCAAATTTGCAACAAAAAGCATTAAAACCTTACGCTTACAAAAACTCGAATTTTTTAAAGGTCCTGACTAACTGAATGCTCTTTTGTTCTGTAGAAAAACTCATCGAACGGTAGCCAACACTGCTGATGCATGTTTTTTTTAATTCAAAAAATTATACCCATGCTATGCAAAGTGATCTTTCGCTTTTTTCCGCGAATCAATGTTTGTCGAGGAAGGCTAACCGACAGATTCGAACTTGAATCGTCTTCTCCATCCGCCATATACCATAAGTAATTACCTTAATTGTATAACATGTGAAAAAAGAAAAAGCATACTTCATTTCTATTTTAAAACTATCCAACTTTAATCTGATTTATCCTGGCTACCCTCTTCCAAATTGTTTGAAATGTCAAAATCGCATTTCCTGAACGTAACAGAATCTATTATTTGAAAGGTCACAATACTGTTGTAGACTGCTTATTATGCTTTTTCTTTTTGAGCAAGATACAACTTTAAGTCTACCCTTCCGCGCTATTCATGTTCTAAACAAAGAAATGAGAACTGCTACTGGTTACCAATCTTGTGAAATGACTGTGGTATCAGCATGGAGAAAGTGGTGTTTTACGGAAAAAAAAACCCAACCTAATCTCAACTATTAAAAAAGATAAAATATTTACTACATATGGAAAGAAAAAAAAAAGGAAAACTATGTCTAGGAATAGTTGAATGGTCGGCACACATTTCAATTAACAACCTTCTTTTCCATAAAGAGAACTGTAAAGTATGCACTAGTTCAACAGGTTTTTTTGTCCCCAAATACCTTTCATCTGTTATTTCCTACTTTTTAGGGTGGGGGAGTTGAAGTGAGGAGGAGAAACGAGACGAAGGAAAAATAAGTTGCTTATTTCATAAACGAACGATACTGATAAGAAACACACTGCAAAAAATTATTTTAGTAGTTTTCTGATAACGGGTTACCATTGGATAGTTGTCTATCTATAAGTATCATAGGACTGAGATCATTTTCAAGAAAAAGTGTACATTTTTTCTTCCATAATAATATCAACATGCGATAGGTATCATGAATATATATTAAAAGAAAGGCTTTCTAAGATATTTATTTTCAAACACACATTTTATCAGTACATCAATAGAAGGAAGAGGATAATAAAATAATGCTAATACTACTTATTATCGCTCTGAAAAGTGAGTGTTGCTCTCGATACAACTTATAGCCATTCTCCAAGATTTTATTTTCTAGCAAATGATAAAAATAAACCACTCAATTTAGAATAGTTTAACAATGTCAAACACATCTCCCAATCATAACTGAATTGGTCCAACATTTATTAAGAGTATAACATGGAAAGAAAGTGATTAAATATAAAAAAATTGGAGCTATGCAAAAAAATGGATGGAAGAAGGCACTAAAACAAACTGAGAAAGCCAAACAGGTCTATAAAAATAAGACCTGGTTCTGTATTGAACCTTATATTTGACATAATCCACCAGGAAGATGTCACCTGTGTCTGGATGAATTAAACGAAATGGATGAACGCGCGAGACCGTATGGAAGACCTCCATATCAGTTTGAATAAAAAAAAGGTAAAACAAAATTTTTTTGGACAACCACATCATCAGAGAGACGGAAATGATTAAGTGGAACGAGCTGTGAGTGTCGATGCCTTAAGGAGATGACAATCACTGTATCAGCTTTCTGGTAGCGAGAAAATTTCTAGATTTGTCAAACTGTCGGCGAGTCACACCGAACAAATGAACAGTTCAGAAAAAGAAGTCCCAAGCATCACCTGCTTCAAACATAACCCATCCACAAACATACACACACACACACATACATCCACACAACATCCATAAACATACATTCGAACAGTTATAGTAAATCTCCCAGCATTTTATTAAACTGAATGCACACAGCGTGAAGTACAGATACACATACACACGCACATACATAATCCGAATGGAAAAGAAAATGACATCAATGCGACTATGAAATATACAGACATGCATACACACACACACACACAAACACATACACACGCACACACGGAATCGATAGATGCCCTCTAGCGTCGGTAGTAAAGTAGGTGGTCGGATACAAGCCACCCCAAAACAGGCGTACTACTACTACGACTAATACCACTGTTGCTGCTGCAACTATTGCACAGGACAGATACATTCGAAAGAAGATTCCGGGTCAATTATTAAAATCCCACGAGTCATTTCCTATCTTACGGACTTGGATAGTGTGCCAAAAATTTAATAGGGCATATGCTTTCACAATATAATTCAACCATCCATATGGCGGCATCGTCTTCTCTAATTTGGAAAGGAGCATTTTATCATGGTATTTGAAATAAAACTTCCAGAACCTCTTCTACTTCCATTCCGTTCATATCTGCTCGAAAAAAGATGATATAGTTTGTTAGAGATATCTTCAAAAAGCCTGCGACTTGTCCCAGAATTTCCATAAAGATAACCCTCAAGCAGTTCGTATGGTAGTCTCTGACAAATTATTATGAAAATTTTGCGGGAATTTTGCATTAATCTTACAGTCACATTTATCTTCCATATATATAACATTCAGTGGTTTTAACTTTTCATCAGCAGTGTGGACTACCGGAGGGAAAATGGCGATACGGAAATGATAATAATTGTATCTTACGTCACACATGGAAGCCTCTCCAAACCTCTCCTATAAAGTAGTGATAGGTAATAGAATCTGCTATGATGAAAGTAAGATATACGATGAAGAGAGTACTTCGAGTGCACACAGTTCTATCTCAACATTTCCCGGCAAAACCCACTGGATGAATCATACCATAAAAGTAGACATCCAGCTTGCATCCCCGCGATCTTTGATTTACATGGTACAGTCTCTAAAAACTTCATATAACGCACCGAGGTCCGTTAAAAATGGACGCATTGCGAGAAACCTTGCATGGTATTCGTGGTTTAGTTGTTCTGATCCGGTTGTTTGGTGGCAAAGTACTTGAAGCAGTAGATGTCCGGGATTCCGTCATGTTCACGTGCTGTTCTTTCACTTTTAATAGATAGGTTGGCTATCAGCATTGGGTAGTTTCTCACTAGAATAACTATGATTACGTGAATTGGATGTGGTGCCTGATATAAATGTATAGAGTTGGACGTATTGGAGTGAGGTAAATGTTAGCAGTGCCACTTTTGATTAGGATCTTATTGGGATTTGAAAACGCCATGTTTTGTTTGGTTAATTACACATTTACTGCTATTGGTCTTTTTTTTATTGCTGAAAGTGAAAGTCAGAATACAGAACAATGGTAAATGGTGATGTAAAACATTCTGGGAAGATGCGGAAATGTCGGATTTCACGAAACAAAAAACGATACTGGAAAAAAGGTACGCAAATCCAGGATACGGAGGATTTTCTCTGCGAAATTCAAGCTGATGATGTTAAAGGTATGTCAGAAATATCTTTTGGTTTCGGATATAGTGTTGGGGTGATGGAAAAAAAGGCATTTTAGAATTGAATTGGTGCTTATTTCATGAATGGTTCAGTTTTCTTTTGATTTTGTTGCATTAAATTGATTTTAGATGTAAAAAACCAAAGTGATGACAGTCTGTTTACCGTCGAAAGAGAACCTGATCACAATAATTTTAAATTAACAAGGCGACAGATGGCAGCTTTGATGAAGAGATTAACAAAGAAGGAGTTAGTTGGTTCTCACTATTTCATGGAGAAAATTTAATTTTTGAAAACACTTGGTTGCACTATTTAAATGATATCGAGACAGTAGTAAGGCTTGTATCCAAAAGTGAATGACGGTTAACTGGATTTTTATTCCGGCGTAATGATAATTTTGTCGCTATTTGTCACTGATTTCTTTCAGATTTTTTAGTAATTTAACGATTTAGGCTTGTGACAAAGGAGGATAATGTACCTAAACGTCAGGTGAGAAAGATGCTTCTAGAAACACCGAAGAAACAAGTCGCGGACAAAGCTAGTTTTCCACAAAATACTGCATTCCAGACTCGAGAATTATATGATCTTTGGGGTATGTTTTTTTCACATCTGAAAGTTTTAGGAACATTAATTCGAGGTCTTTGATGCCGTGTTTTGAATTTACTGAAAAAGCTGAATGCCCACAACGAGAACTTATATTAGAGAAGATGTTTTAAAAACATGCGACTTGTAATATGTAGATAAGAAGATGATTGTGAAATTTGTCGAAATTTATACACCATATACTAGTGCAGATGGTCAAATTCTGATGGTTTTTTCATTCGGGAATGTCGGAAGCACTTAATATTTTTAAGTTGTTTAATTGATGTATTAAAGTTTTATAGTCTATAAAATTAGTGTTTAGAATTTTAACTTAAATCATTTGCTGATGTAATAGCTAATATTCAGTTCTCTCTTTTTTTAAGGTAAAGACGACCAACACTCACAAAAAGAAGTTTCTGCATCAGAGGAATACTATTTTCTAATTACCAAGAAAAAGTTGCCACAGGAACCGAAAACTTTGAAGCACATAACTAGCATACTGCAGCATGTAGAAATTGCTCCGGCGGGTGCTTCATATAATCCTCCAGTGTCCAAATATTTGGTTAATAAATTTGAATTCCCCTTTTCAAGAATTTGGAATGCATCCTAAAGGATGAATATGTATTTTAATGATGCTTACTGAGTTTTTCACGGTAGCCAGTAAATTTTGCTTCATAATGTGGTAATTCGTTATTTCTTGTTTTCGTTACCTCTCAATTACCTTTCTTTACTGTATCATTTTCTCTTTGCTTTGTCTAAACGATTCGAGTCTCAAATATCGATCCATGATATCCTGACTTAAGGATTACAATCTTAATTTTCCGACTGCTAATGCTTGCAACGAGATAAAAATCTATAAAGCAAGCAAATTAATCAAACTATTTCAATATGTTAAACTGATCACAAACTAAACATTGTGTTCTAGGATTATGTTACTGAGGCAGCCGAAGAAGAAAAACGGAAAATTAAAGAAAGTGAAAAGCTGGAACGTGAGCTTGCATTGCTTAAAGAAAAATACGCCACTCGGGTTTATATTGTTCCTCTTCTACACCTTTATCACTGGCAGCTGTGATTTTTTTCTATTGTTTCTTCAACAAAATTTCAGGAGGAAATAGAACTAGAATTAAGGACAACTCTTGATGGTAGTGGCGATAACAGTGACGAAATTTTGGAGGATGCGAATGAAATGGAATTGAACGACAGTGGAGGTTAGGATTCCCTGAATCTTTTTCTCTCATTTTCTGTTCTTATCTTGCTCAAAATTATTTGAAAATTAAAAAATTCATTTTAAGAAAAAGAGCTAAAAATTAAACAAAAAAAACAAAAAACAAGGAAAGCTCGATACTTGAGACGTATGGAACGAAAACGGAAAGAAATTGAAAGTATAACTGGATTCCAAAAGGAACAGATGCATCTTATTTACTCGTGAGTATTTCAAAAATTTGTTTGATAAAGAGTTATGCTTACCAAAATTAAACCGTTGCGCTGAAAGCATATTTCCATTTTGTCGGATTTTTGAGGTTTATAACTTATTAAACTATTACAGAACTCGAAAATTAAATAAAGAAATCAGTAAAGAAATACAAAAACGAGAAGAATTAGCAAAGAAACGGAAAGTGCACAAAGTTAGTTGTAATTCGTTTCATGGCTTTTTCATTTATTTAACATCGAAGTTATTTCCAAAAGTACAGCAAAAAAAAAAGTTCAGCGAAGTTGTGCTGACTAATATCATTTTTCATGTCAGTTTCTTTTGATATATCTTTCAGTTGATCAAAAAATTTGCTGGTACACAGCGTTTGGGTCGTGGGAAGTTTGAACCGTGCGAGAAATCTGTTTTGTTAACTGAGGAATTGCCAGGGTCTTTGCGAGAACTAAAGCCGCAGGTTTGTTCTAGAAATTATGTTTTCATGGTAAATATCATTTTTCTGCTTTCACTGGGAACATAATAGTAGTATAAAATGTGCTTTTTTGTCATAAATTGTATTCATAATGAATTAAGATGCTGAATATTTTACTTGAATGAAGTTGTCAGTTGGACTCTTATTTGTACAGTCAACTTTACAGTTAATCCGAAAAGCAAAATTCGTTGAAGTGATATTGCATATATTTTTCGCAGAAAAAATTTTTTCTTTTTTAATCTCCTCGACTGATAGGAGAGTTAAGTGTTACAGGGCAATGTTTTGACGGAACGCTTGAAGAGTTTGCAGAAAAGGAATATGCTCCCGATACCGGGAGAAAAGCGACAAAGAAGGAAATTGAAAAACAGGTTACGAATTAAAGAAAGAGAAGACAGGAAACATCAAGAAGTGAAACTTGGTACACGTTTGATATAATACTGGTACAACTCGTTCGATCATTTATTTTTTTAATTCATTCATTTATTGTTATCCAGAAAAATAAATAAGTCCCGTAAATTGATAGCATCACCTCACAAAAAAAAAATTAGTTTCAAATGTCATCAAAAAGGTTATTTTTTTTTTCTACACACTTCTACAAAAGAAGTTTGCAAAAAATCTTGCTGATAAAAGAAAATTAAATATAGTTGTCTGTTATCTGGAGTTTGAATTCTGAAATACAAGTTTCGTGGTACTGTAAGATGTAGTGACTTAAATATAGCTGTCATGCAGTAGTATGTCATGTAACATTCACTGTTATTTCATTCGCTGTCTTCCTAGATTTATGGTTTGTCTTTGAACATTTTATGATGTAGCAAAAGATGGCTGATATTGGAGTTACGAATTCTGAAACATTAAGATTTGACACTCTTTACCATATTGATCATGTTCTTGCACATTTCAATGCAAGGATTAGTCCCGCTGCGCCGAATGCCATATTATATGCCATCCTTAATTCCAGAAGAAAAAGCAGAGTGTAATGGTTGTTGATGTGGGTGTGGTATTGCATAGTTACGTTGTTGTAACGGGTACCTGTTAGGCCATCAGGCATGAATAGGACGTTGGATATGGTATGTCATATGTCACGCACTAGCGTATACAGCGAGAAAATGTGGTGATAGTGGTACGCACCTCTCTCCAAACTAACAACTGATTGTGCAAAAGTTGGGAAGATTGTTGTCATGACATAGTTCTAGTAAATAATGATCTTAGTGGCATGTAAGAAGATGCGGGAGTTGAATTATAGTGATGGAATATTTAGACAGAGAGAAGAATGAACAAGGAAGAGATGTGATTTTCAGGTCGAAAGGAAGTTTCACAGCGAAACATAAATGGTGAGAGTGAAAGAGAGAGAAGGGGAGAGACGACTATGATGACCCAGTGACCCGATTTCCAGATTAAAATTATCAGGTGGGATGGTAATTTTCTGTAATCATGTATCAAGGAGTAATGTGCCTGCATGTGGAGTTTCGTCTTTTCCACTCACATTTATTGTCTTTCGGTACTTTCAACCTTATTCAATGATGCTACTTCAATGCGGATTTGTGATTTCATTTCAGTCCCCTCGGGGTAACAAAACATCTTTAAAACAGTAGCGCTGTTATTCAAACATCAACAATAGCAGTGTCATATAGCAGCATCGATGAATCAAAACAGAAATGTTGATGCTATTAAAATTGATGCATACATCTGCTAAATTAAATACTTTGAAATTCATTACATAAAATTCTCAGTGAATTCAATTTTACATTGCGATAGATGGAAATTTGAAACATTTTGAGCACAGAATGATTTTTATGCACGATGCTAATATAGTTTTCCTCAATGGTTGGTATCTTCATCATAATATGTTCAGTTGATAAGCTTTCTGCTAACATGATAATCTGTCTCTGTATTGTTGATGAAATGGTTTGATCTTCAATATAAAGCATTGAAGACATAGGAATTAAAATTAGCACAAATAGTGCTGAATTTCTAAAAGAAAACGATGTTTGCCAGCAAAAAGTGATTCTAATTCAGTACATAGCAATGCTAATTGTCCGATATAATAATTACATTAATAAGTAATAAGTTGCATTCATTAAATGAATTACTGCAAATTGGATTGTTAACATTACATTACATAATGAATCGAGTCTTTAAATTTACAAATAGACAAATTTACAAGTATATAATCGAAATGCAATACAATTCAAAGAATATGAAGGAATGCAAGAAAAATACTATAAATTATAAATGTTAAATTGCTGAAATCTCAAGTAGTGGAAGTTGCTGAGCAAATTTAAATTCTTTTAACAATGACTAAAGTTTAAAAGAGTCCAATCTTCAAATAATTGCTTGGCATTAATATGCTTCACAAACACGTTTAAGATAACATTTAGCAGCAAACATGTTGCTGTAATTTAATTAGGAATTTAATTTTTTATGCAGAACTTTTCAGGTCAAAGATGTAATAGGTAATAGGTTAGAAGTTGTGATGTGTAATAATCAAGGTATAATTGAAGGAATAAAATGTTTTCTTCTATAATATTTGCTCAGTTCTCAAAATATTCTAGAAATGATATGCAAGGTTGTTCGTACGGTTGTATTTAATTACTTAAATCAAATACATTACTGCAGTTGAATATAAATTAATTGCAGATGATAAAGGATAAAGCATCTCTTGGCATAAATTATGCAGCTTAAACTAACTTTTGTATTTGTTTCTTTTAAACTCCCTCTCAGTAAAAATTGATGTGACAATTATTTTTTTCGAATTTTATTTTTTCATTTGCAGTGATGACTAGTAGTCAGTCTTATGTTTATTATGCTAAACTAATTTTGGATTTTTTTCTTGCAAAATTCGTAGTACCATTTGAAAATTGCTACCTCAATGAAAATATTATTTGAAATTGGAGCTAATTCTTGTATTTGCTTCACTAAAAATGATTAAGTAATCTTCGAAAGAGGCTCAAATGTATAGAGACTGTCTGTCACCTTAGGTTGCTGCTATGCGATCAACGAAATTGAAAGTGGACATTCAACAACTTACAATGGTAGGGTTTTATTAGTGATCGGAAAAGAGCGATCATCAGTTCATCGGCCTGTACCTGTCGGTCTACATACATATGAATGTGTATGTAAATGTATGTCTGTATGTGTACGCATGTGGTGATGCATGGATGGAGAGATAAAAGTGAAAATCTGGGGAAGTAGGTGACCGAATTGCGAATATATTTTCCCTTTCACTTTGCATTTCATTTCGAAGCGTCGAACCGATTCCAGCAATGACGTCCTTATCGCACCCGCTGCCACATTTTCCCATTAAGGTATGTGTACGTGTATGTGTATCTATCATCTACGGATATCCTTCACTTTCCCCCGCTACGCAATCATGACAAAAGTCTTTTCACTGATTTTCAAATTGTTGATATTCTCCATTTCAAACGAATCAAACGTTCATAATTCAATCAACTTTTTTCACGACATATGTTACGGATAAGACGAAATATCATCTGTTACAATCATCCAAATGGAATTCTGTATAAACAGCTAATCATACATCGAACTGATCATATTCAAGACTGATAATTATATCAGACTATACCAGGGATACTATATCACTATGTCTGAAATAATTTGAATGTCTAGCATATAAAAAATATTTCGTTATAGTTATCAGCTATTTCTGGATGAAGAGCGAATGACTCATCTTCTAAAATACTAAAAATATTATGTGAATAAAATCTGTAGGAAATTTATGGATGGCTTATATTGATTTAATTAATTAAAATTTTAATGCTGAAAGTATTATTCTTTTTTTTTTTCTTTTTTGTAGAACATTGCAGATTCTATAAGTTAAGCCAAGCCATCATCATAATGTCTTTCTCATTTATCATGCTAAAAAAATATTACCTAAATTATAAAAGCAAACAACTACTGGCAGTTGAAATTTTCTCCAAAGTAGACACATTGAAATATTTACATCAGAATTGAATATTATTCAGTAAATTTTATTAAATAATATCCAAAATTCTCAAACCCACTTTCCTTTTCATACATTTTTCAGTTATCAATTCCAGTTATCAACTGTAGCAATTTCAGTATTCCTATTTTCCATTTAACACATATTATGAACAAATGAAAACGAATGGAATATAATGCTTGTTATTCGCACCGATAGCCAAAGTTACTCCTAGCGAAAATTTCGCGTTAGACGCAATGCGCTTTAGTAATTAGTTGGATAAAAGCAAATGGAATTCATAGGATGAAATGATATTAAAAAGGAAATAAGGAAAAGAGAAACTCAGTCGTTTTCGTAATATTTGGTACCACTTTCTCCTTTGATTTAGATCCAATAATGTTCCATTCCCAATGATCCTAAGGAAACATAATCTCCCAATATTTCTTAATCGGAAGTTTTGTTTTTTTAAATTGAAAAAAAAAAGTTTTTGAATAGACACTGATAAAGCATTATTGTGCTGAGTGTAATGATTTTAGCCTAATCAATTCGTTTAAGTTTCATTTCTTTCTGCTGGGAATTGGCGTTTTTTGAATTTTTTAAGTACTTTTTTTTGAATCAGCTTTTGGAACTTTTTTTTCATATCGACAATGAAAGTCTTATGCAATTCTGAAAGAATAATTTGCAACACTGATAAGACAATACAATCACTCATAAAACTAGTACAATAATAGGTTATTGTATACTGAGATTATAAATCCAAGATAATCTAATGAACCTTTTCTTGAAAAGCTCCCCGAAAAAATAAAGTTTTCGCTTCATTCACTGACAGCATAAAATAAGTGTAAAAAGAAGAGTTAAATATTTGGTTGGACAGATTTTTCTCAGGGTTAAAGTCTTAGGATTTTCTTAAGCTTTTATGACAAATAATTTTTCTGAGCTGTAGATGTGAAAAGCAAGTCAACCTTTTGCCTTTTTGATAAGATTATTTGTCTGAACGGAATGGTAGCTTAGGCAACAATCTTCATTCTAGCTTATCATATGATTTATTATTCCTTAGCTTAAGCACTTATCCTAACTTAACAATTATTTCTTTTCAGTTCTTTACATATGCACATATGTCTTTTTATTTAATATGAACATTCCAAAAATATTGCTTAATTATGATTTAGCTTATTTAATGTTAATTTCTTATAATTTAATTCCAATTTCCAGAGTTTCCTGCCATACGACCTATCGACATACAGTACCATGCCACATTTGTCGCATACAGCTTTGATGAGTCCACTAGTCAATCCATTCGTACCCTCTAATATTCTCAACATGTTCCAAGAAGATACCAAGCAATCTTCCGGAAAAATATCATCAGGCGCTGCCTTACCTACCTTACGACCATTTCACATTTACGATCCAACCGATCCAATTAGTGTTCTTTCAGTACCACCCACAACCGATTTTAACCGTTTGAAAAATGATAAAGCCATCAATGAACAATCAC